ATCGGTAAGCAGACAAAATTGAACTGAAATTGAAATTGAATTGAAATTGGCACTATTATTAATCATTGTATAATCTACTTACCAATGGGACCTTCACTATCTAAGGAGACCTTCAGACCTGCTATACCCTGCTTGGTGAACCTTCAGGAGGCCCGATATTAAATGTCAGTTGCCTGTATGCCCAAAATTCTGAGGTGCCCCCTGCATCTCTTCCCAAAAAATAAATAAAAAAATAAGCAAATAAGTGGGTTTAATACATTTATTACCTAGATGTTGGTATAAAAGGTGTTTAGGATTATTGGGTTTAGAGGTATAGTGGGGTTAAATTTAGTATTGGGGTACAAAAGAATTAAACCTACGAATAAGATAAAATTTTTTTTTCAGATTTAGACTTTTAGTGCTTAAATGTGGGACAAGGGAAAGGGTTTATTTAGGTTTTGGGAGTGGTTAAATTTAGGATTAGAGAAAAAAGGTGTTTATGGCATGTGCAATTTAAGTCTCTCAATACTGTCCCTGCTCCTCCTGCAAGGCATTTCCTTTGTGATAGGCTATTAGTGGGCAGATGGAAAATGTTCTCTTACACTTCCTGTCCAGCCTTACATACAGACACTGAGCACACATATTGGGAGAGCACTGGGTTTTACACAGTTTATAACTGTTCCTGCAGCTCTGCTATTAATCACAGGAGGCTGACTGCACAGGACACTGGCCAAGACTTGTGGGAGGTATCTCTACACCAGCCCACCCAAGCTCCAAAGATGCACTATATAAGTGGAAAGGGAAATCTGACTTAATAACCTAAAAAAGTATGCTTGCTTTGCCAAAGTACAATCAGACATTTCATGCTTTGCCTAGGCAGGGTATAGAAAACCTTTAATAAAGGAAACAAAAATTACTTGTATCGTTGTGAAAATATATCTTTTGGACCTTTAAAAATAAAATGCATGTTTATTAAATTAATGTAAAGCTGCCAAACAAACTGCTTATGAAGGCAATGAAAAATAACAAAAAAATCAACCCACCAAAAAACTTCCCAATTCCAAAATGTGCAAAAGGTTCTGAATTTTCATTCTCTCCTGGAATATTATAATTTCAAAAATCTAGCAACCAAGCCTTTGAAAAAAAAAACTATATTTTGACTGCGAAGTCAAGTGCATCTTATACATCACCACTCATATCATGATATTGATAATTTTGCCAGTAATTTGCTAAAGGCAAAAACAGCATCAAGATTCTCTTAGCATGACAGTACAACACACAGTAAATTAGAAGAGTCAGTTCAGATGTCATCTATCTGTTTTCATATTTACCAGATCACACCGTGATTAAATACTCTCTAAATCTTTAATCCCTTTGCAGTTCTCTGGGGACAGCAAAGCATTCGTCTCAGTTATCTGCAGTTAACTGTTTGTGGTTCAAGGGTTAAAACCTTGAAGTATAACATGTCAACCAGATGTTGACATAATGAATACAGTACCATTTGCATACAAATGACACTTATTCTTTTGCAAGAAGCATGTTTTACTGCTCCTCCAGCACTCTCGGAAGGAGGAACATGGGATCATTAGCATTGGGGTCTCCTTATTGTACATCATTTGATGATGTCCGCGGGCACTGTACATTCCTTCACTCTGCTTCCTAAGCACCCACATGATTAGAAACTGCGTGCTATGGCTGCACTATTGCTGGAAGCCGGCTGTCATGTCAGCTTGGCTTTGTACAAAAAGGAGAGGGTCAGGTCAGAACCACTGCATGGCAGAAACTTATATTAACTTGAGGAGATGCAATATTTGGCAAAAAATCCAAATGAAGTGAAATTCACTATTGGCTGTAACATTTCATTTTTGAAAAACTTTGCTTTAGATAACATGAAGTTATGGTAGATTGCTGGGACAATATATGTGCAGCTCGGGGTACTTTCCTAATAACTGAAAAAAAAACCTATGTACCTAAAGGAACTGCATAACAAACCGACTGCAAATACTAACTATTTCACAAGAAGTGCAATTTCATGGTGCATAAATCTCCACCAATATGCCCATTAACTCTCAAAAGGAGTCATGCCCCTATTCTGCCCATTTGCTACTGATACATAGAAAAATAGAAACATAGAATGTGACGGCTGATAATAACCATTCGGCCCATCTAGTCTGCCCATTTTTTTTAAAATACTTTCATTAGTCCCTAGCCTTATCTTATAGTTAGGATAGCCTTATGCATATCCCATGCATGCTTAAACTCCTTTACTGTGTTAACCACTACCACTTCAGCTGGAAGGCTATTACATGCATCCACTACCCTCTCAGTAAAGTAATACTTCCGGATATTATTTTTAAACCTTTGCCCATTTAGTTTAAAAACTACCTTGCAGGAAGTTGCATGGTTACACTTACTGATTGTTGATGATTTATGCACCATTAAATAACATTTGTATACAATTCTTGTGAGTATTCAACATTTACCATTGGTGTATTATTATTAAAAGAAGCATCGATTAATTCAGATTTACAGCTGTACTAAGCATGCACTGTGTGTTATATTTTTCTCAGAATGTTTAAAATTGCATTAGGATTTAGGGAGCCAAGAAGCCAAGAGGGTTATCTTGCCTTATACCCCAAGCAGTGGTTTAATAAGGACCATAACATTTGAAATTATTATAATTAATTATTATTTAGGATAATTGAGGATAATTTGAGAATTCCAAACAGGGTCACTAAATGCTGTATATATATCAAAACATTACAAGAAAAGGCTTTATGTTTAATAGTATCCTTTGGATAGAGATAAAAATATAAGGGATCACATTATAAATATTTTAAAACATAAACTGATTAAGTAATACAATATATAGAGTTGTGTTGCAGACAGTAGTGTAGATATATGGAATGGCCTTACAGTAGAGATAAAAAAAAGATTGCATCACAAAATATTAATTGAAAAGATTTGTCCGAAAGGGTTTCTGAAGGACAAAAACAGTCTGCATTGCATTATAGTTAAATGAAAAGGCCATTCTGTCCTTACCTGCTCTCTCAATCTTAGCTGTGTCAAGTTTGATGGTTTTATTTTCAGTGCATGAGAGTATACAGTGTATTATATCTAAGTAGTTTAAGCTTCATTAAAGTTATCTTTCGGTCTTTAGTGTTTCTTGCTCATGTCCAGTCAAAACAACATGTATGGAGTCATACCTTCATAACAATATACTTTTAGACTTTTAGAATCAGTTATCATAAAGTGTTTATAATCATTGCACATTAGATTAGAAAACACAGCAATAAATATAACATAGCATTCTAATAACATTTTATTGAAACTAGTATTCTTTCTGTTTGAATTAGGATATAGCAGAATGTAATCTACTAATCTCTAATCTCATCTTGCTTCCAGAAACCTCATTGCTTTTCAGTCTATTTCAGATTTATAGATCAGAATAATAGTTAAAGAGAACAGGCCTCTATGAACAGAATAACACAATGGATCTTATGGTGCAGTGTGTGTGTCCCTTGATTAATAAACCTTTAACTTGATTTTACAGATGTTCTTTTGTCTTGCTTGTTTTTCTATTTGCATTTATTGCATGCATATACATATAGAAGTAAAGCTGTTGGGTCTCCAGGATGAAATTCATTATATGTTATTGTGTATCATATTTATATACACACATGAATATAGGTGTGTGTGTGTGTATTAGAGAAATGTTTTAATTTCATAAACTCACAGAATGCTTACATCAGAAAGGACTTAAGTCCCAAGTAAGTGGATTAATCTCCTATTAAAGTTATAATAATAATTTGACATGCATAAACATAATGTACAAACATGTGCAAACATACATATAATATATGTGTGTGGTACAAATATATGTGTGTGGTACAAATATATAATATATGTGTGTGGTGTATATATATATATACTTACTACTTCTGTCCTTTTCTGTTTGGGTTAGTTTATGTGTTACAGTGTTTTTGTTTGCCTTTGTAGTAAATTCTGCCTATGACAATTGCAATTAAGCAATAATATTTATTGCAAAAACAAATTAAAGTCATAACATTGACCATTTTTTCATACGACCATTTTAAATAAACTCATCTGCTTACCAGGGCTGTGCAACCAGCAGGACCAGATCTGGTCTTAGGACCATTTATTTTTTCACATCTCCCAAGTTAGGCCACTAGGCATCTCAGTAAGGTGTAATATGCATAATGAATATTGAGATCATATGCACATATATTGAAAAGATTACGTATGCCAACTTGAATCTGGACATAGCTAGCAGACGATATAAAAAGTGGAAATACTGGCTAACTTATGTAACAAATACTATCAGATAAGGACTATGGGTGTAAACAAATAAAGACCTTGATTTGTTTTCCTTTAGGACATTTTTTAATCTGAAGTGCTCAATCTTAAAATGATATTAAATTTATAATTAACTCGTACAAGGATGGAAAGCCAAGCTATGGATAAACAAGGATCTACAATAATATTTATATAACTAATTATGTTAATGCAGTTCGTACTGTTAATGATGTAATGTTTTAGAATTAAGAAAATCAATGGGTTTTTAGCTACATAAATTTGTATTCACATAGCAAAGAACTAAAAGCATCCAGCAGCTGAGGGTTTTTTAGCAGAGGCCTGTATAGTGTAAAGTACAGGACACCTGCCCCACAGGTCAACGTCTTCACTATAAGCCATTATTCCTAGCCTAACTGCCCATTCAAGGTTAATTTAATAAATGCATTGCTTTATAGATCGAGGAATAAGTCATACAAAAATATATGTTTTATAATATTAAATTCCTTAGCAGCCAATTTTACAAGTTTTGTTATGCTATTTACATTATAATACATCACTATTAAATATAAATGAACAGATATAATGCATGATATGCTGAAATATACACTGATTTATAAGGTGTCATATGTGTAACTCTTGAGGGCAAATTTTAAAAGTGTGTGCCTGTATGGGTATATTTAAATAAAATAGTATAATTAATAATGTGTGTGTGTGTCTCTCTGTGTGTGTGTGTATATATATATATATATATATATATATACACACACAGACACACACACACACACATTATTAATTATACTATTTTATTTAAATATACCCATACAGGCACACACTTTTAAAATTCTTGAGGGCAAATTTTAAAAGTGTGTGCCTGAATGGGTATATTTAAATAAAATAGTATAATTAATAATGTGTGTGTGTGTCTCTGTGTGTGTGTGTATATATATATATGTATATACACACACAGACACACACACACATTATTAATTATAATATTTTATTTAAATATACCCATACAGGCACACACTTTTAAAATTTGCCCTCAAGAGTTACACATATGACACCTTATAAATCAGTAAATCAATATATATATACACACACAGACACACACACAGACACACACACACACACATATTACAATGATAGGTCTGTCATCTTTTAAAAAGTCGGACTTGAACTGAATACATAAACCAGAATTCAACTGGTTTCAGTAGCTATGGATTTCGTTGACACGTTTGATAAATGACCCTTTGAAATCCCTCCCTACTGCACCTCTGAATTCTAATGGACAGATCTTTACTGATATGCAGCACAATGCACAAAACCCAACTTACATCACATGTATATGCAAATAAAACCCTAAATATGTAAAAATAAAATAAAAAAACAACGAATCCCATGAAAAAACACCTTCCATCGGGCATTTTATTTAATTTTAAACAAGAATATTTCACGTACATGAATTATATATGAAATATCTGCAGTCCTTTATCAGTGTGCTATGCTAATACATGTGAATAATATATGAGGACCTCATGTATACATACATAGATATATACACATGTGGCCACACTAGTCTCTTAGTATGAACACATGTATGTATCTACTGTAAATCAATGTTTGCCCTGCTAGAGTGTAGCTAAGCCTTTGTGTGAAGTAATAGCTTAAACAATAGATGGTACATAATGGTCACATAATTATGAGTACGAGATTTGTTGTGCCTTGCATGTAATATTCATAGCGTGTAAAGAAGACCAATTTGGAACGAGACATTGCTGAATATTAACTGCAGTAATTCCAGACTTCCACTAGTGGTCGCTTTTCAGCCTGAATGGCTCCGTGTTTTCATCAGCACTGCGGTTTACAGATTTTGCAGCACTAATTACATCAAGTCCTTAGATGCGTTTGTAAACCATGCCAGTTACTAAATTACACACGGCAATGTTTGGGATTTAAGGTGCTGATTATACCCAGCTCAGCCACTTCTCTATTATACTCACAGTGACATTAACCCCCTCCTCCCCCCCACCCCCAACCTCCTTCCTTAATTCCCATTTATCTCTCTTGCTGTGCAATCGTGAGAAAACAAAAACAAAACATACCTGAAGAATACAACTGTCTCCCATAGATAGATGCTGAGTGCATTGAGGTTGCACATGTTTTCGTTTGTGCAGGTTGTAGATCAGGGAACAGCCGGTTTGGCACTTTGGATCAGGATAGACAGGATTGGAGAAAGCAGCAGGCTGGTTGTATTTGCAGGGCGAACTAGTGATGTGCTCTGCCTCCAGTCTGCATCAGCAGGTACTTTAGTGGCTGGGCTCTGAGAGGGGTAGCAGCAGCTCCTCTAGCTGACAGAATCCCTTTCAGCACCAGAGACAGCAGCAGATAGATAGAACGTGTTCAGCACTGTGGATAGAGCAGCCTGGAATGGCTTCAGAACCGGAGACAGCAGCTGGCAGGGGATACAGTTACAAGCAACACAAGTGAAACATTCTGCTTCTATCTCTTGTTAATGGTACTCCAACAAAGCAGCAATTCTCACACAAAGTAACTGTCTGTCGGCCCCATGATCCGGCCAGCTAGCAAATCACACGACCAGAAGATTTTACCATTAAAAAAAAAAAAAAAAATCCCCTCTGTTAGCAAGCAGTTTTATCACATCCCAGACACAGACTAGGTTGTGCATGGGGATCCTCTAGATTTTCTGTAATTTTCCAGAGGATCCCTAGTCTTTCCCCCCAGCGTTCCTCAGAAGAACTAGATTTTCCTTTTCTTGTTTTTCTACGTTTTCCCAGATGATAGCTATGATGCTGCTGTAAAGATCCTGTCCCATTGCTTGCAGAGAAAGTCAGAGAGAGATGTTCTGCTAAGTTTCACAGTCTTGAGGCATTCTATGCTTACAGTAGCAGATCAATAATAAACACACACCATACTGGATATATATTCCTGCCCATGATATGCTTGGAGGACTCACCACATCTTAGCATATTCCTTACTGCAGTAATTTGCTAAACTAAAAAAAGGTGAAATGGGAAAAAAATCCTTCAGAATTAATAATCCCTCCCACCTTCTCTACTCATTGGTTCATAAATTTAAAAAATGCTCCAAATCCCCTCTGATTGGAAAGGGACCCTGTTAATCATTTGAATGTGTTAACTGTGGAGTCCCTGGATCATTCTGTGCCTCAAACTGCCCTGTCCCATTACATAAAATCAGAATTTAAAATTAAATTTCAGACACTACTAACATTTGTGCTACACATTTACAATGATCACAAGCATGCTGCATGCAGACAAGTTGTATATTTAAACATCTACCTCAGAAATCTCATGGGAGAACCTTGCTTGCTACTAATGTTATGTAACAGGTTCATTAGTGGGGAGTGATGAGTCTGGCCTTTTTGGAATTAATCACCAGCAGAGCAAAAGAGATACCCTATGCAGCATTATTGTGACCAGTTGTCTTAAGAGTGTAGTGCTATTATCAGCATCTTGCATTTTTGTCTCAATTAGCCCTTGCTTTTCATTTTAAGTTTGCAAAGTATTATTAACATAAAATAACTTATGTAGAGTAAGTGTCATTTATTAGTACAGTTCAGAGGGAATATGACTCCCATCAGTATTACCAATTTCTGGCGCAGGACCATCAGAATATATTGTAGCATTTATAGTTCAGTTTGCTTAGAATAGCTTGAGAAAGCTATTTTACACGCACACCGAGAGGACTCAGAAAGGTTTTCTGGGATGTAAAGTTTTACCTCAGTTTTGACAATAAACATCAACAAGGGATTATTAGGTTATGCCTGGTCTCTTATTATTCTATTTCCATCAACACTGAGGTATATGCATTGCTAAAATCTACTTTTCTAACAACCCAGCCTTAGGATTGAGATACCTACAATGTGACAATAAATAACATAATGCATACAGCACCAGAATATGTGCAAAAGTTACAATGCCAAGTGTAGTAATGTGGAGGCAGTCAAAGCAATCACCGACAGAACTTATAACATTATATAAATGTACATGGCCACTCTGTTATTGTTTTTAATCTAGATTCAAAAGGATACATGTTTGGAGTCAAAATAATGAAGAAACAGGTCTTAGAATGTCCATGGAATTTTTTAAAATACATTTTAGACAAGCGGTTTTGGCGATGATTTTTACTGCAATAGGTAAGGCACAGTAATCAACGTGCAAAGCAATGTTTTCATTTCACCAATACAAAGTGGATGATGGTTGAGTAAGCTCTGGCATGGCTAAAACATCTGTCACTCTTAGCTGATTAAATACATGACCCTGCTTTTCTCCATGATTACTGTATCTGATCTCCCTATTATTTATTGATTCTATAGAGCTGCAGTAGCTGTGATACTGTGTAGGAATGTAGGTGGGAGAGATCCATTGTTACTTTCAGGTACCAATACATACATTTTGCAAAAAATTAGGACAACCTACATTTTGCAAAAAATTAGGACAACCTGACTGCCACTTTGGTCGAGCATAATCCTGAAAAGCAGACAAATTAATTTGTCATTGAGTTATTGTTGTAACTGTGCCAAATGCAGCTGAGATGCCTTGTTGGTCCTACAGCAAAACTATGGAGTGGTTAGTACTATCGAATTGACAAGAATTTCACCTTTGCTACATTTCTTAAGTTAGCTGTAAGTGAACTGGAATTTGTACTCAGAACCCTGCTTATTTTAAAGGTTAATTAAATATCTCAGGTGATAATCCTCCGGTTACTACAAAAGAGGGGAGTGCTCAGGGGCTTTAGTCAATCACTTTCCTAAAATGTTTCCTGACTGCTTATGTCATTAAGCAAATCCATTTTGATAACTTATATCATGCCCAGGCAGCTGGAGTTGCCTCAATTGCTTGGAACCAAAACACAATTCAATATTCCATGGCAGTCCAATTTTTTAAACCATCCACCCCCTAGCCCCCCAAAAATCTCCAAACAAACAGACATAGTCTAATTAAGATCAATGTGGCATAATAAACAATGGATGGTGTTTTAGTCTCATATTTGTGTTTATAAAGTACACTGTAAGCATAAACACTTTATAACATCAGTTGAAATTCACCTATCACCAAATGTGTGTGTGTGTGTCCAGAGTGCAGCAAGATGGTGCAGGTGCACATTATGGACTCAGATGACACTCCACCCACAGGGAAGTGGCCATTTCCATTATCAGCCTGCGCATAAAAATCTTATATATATTATATTATTATTATAGGAATGGGACAAATTTATTTTAGCTATGAAAGGGGTGTCCAATTGTATATCTCACCGAGAGACTGGCAGGTTTTGTTTAGATGATATTTGACCCCCCACCACCTAAATCACATTTACCATTCATCTCTGGAAACTTGCTGGCAATGCCAGGCAAATGGGGGCTCCATACTACACATAGCCTAGTATTCCCCAGAGCAATTATCATACTGGACAAAAATCCAATCTATCTTGCAGGATCTGTTAGAGACAACACTATCTGTTCAACTTCAAATGTATCTCTTAGATATGTTACCAGACTCGATCTCGGCTGCACAACAAGTCTTAGCACTCCATGTTCTTACTGCAGCTAAAAAGAACATCGCACATCACTGGAAATTTGCTACAATACCCCCAACAGCATAAGTCTTCATGAAGAAATGTAACATAGAAATCAAGGTACTCTACAAAATTTGGAATTAACACTGTGTCACTTGAAGAGAGTACCTACTATTTAACTGAGCTTTCCCCGAATCCCTACCTCATCCCGACTCCTTTTCTTCTTTTCCCATTTCTTTTTAATTTTAACTAGTTTTTTTAATCTTTTTTTCTATTATCCCAGTAATAATACCATTGGCACATTTCACTAACTTAGCAATATAACATGTCTGTATAAAGATAATATATTTATATGGTTCAAATAAATCTTATTTATATTTATTTCAGAGACCCAGGAATGCTTTGTTCCAGACCTTTTCTTGTCTTGTTGCCCTTGCTTCATGC